TGTTAGGCAAATATATTTCCTTAAAGTGGACCTATCATGCTATATTTGAATAATATAGTGTAGGACCATACCTATATAAGGCATATTTATACTTTTTATTTTTCAAAATACCAAACAGGTCATGCATTTTAGCCATTCCTCATTTCGCTCAATTTAACACTGTCTTTGCATGGGCTGATTCTGTGAGAGCAGCACCATCTACAGGCCTGGCATATGTACTACAGCGTCTAGCGCTTTCGAACGGCAATGTCCGTGGCTGTCTCCTCCTGATTGGTGGAGTTGTCCCAATAGCCGTAGCGCCACTTCTGTGACGTCATAGAAGTGTTCAAATCTGGATCAGTCTGTATCAGATCCGTTGCAGCCCCTTTTTAAGAGATTTGGGTATGGAGGAAAATAGAGAGGGTTGTGTTTTCTGACACTTGGTGAGTTCCCTGGAACACCGGGGACACATATTCATGTATGAAAGACGTACAAAAGTGCATTTTGCATGATAGGTCACCTTTAAATTGTGTTGGGAAGAGAATCAAACAGATTAGCAAGCATTTTGCTCAGTGTTTTCTCTGTCCTGGGCGTTGCTGCCATGGCAGGATGGTGGATGTGGGAGGTCAGAGGTCGGAGAGGAGGAAGTGGATCCACTGCTTTGAGAACGTCACCTCCATCATGTTCCTGGTGGCGCTCAGCGAGTACGACCAGGTGTTGGTGGAATCAGACAATGAGGTGAATAATGAAAACAAACACACACACACACACACACACACATTAAAATGTAAAACCCTGAGCTAAAATGTTTTGTTTTGGGGATCTTAATTTCACCTTTTCAAAAACATCTATTAAATCACTTTAGTATTGCATGTGATGTGGAAGTTGAGTTCCTCTGATGACGAAAAGCTACTCCTTATTTAAAACAATGGAAATCAGATTTTCCTCCGGCCTGGCCGCCCTCCACCTTTTTTCCCTTGGAAAGCATTTGTAAATGATCAGCCAGCTGTTTTGAATACCGCCTCGGGCCAAATCACCTTCTTAAGAGGATATAGCATGTGTGTGTTTGTTAAAGTGTATTAATGAGCAGCTGTGCGTTCATTATGTGAGTGTCTCTGTTTTTGCGCCCATGTGTTTTCCTCCCTTTGTTACTGCAAGCCCTGTAAAGTGCAGAAGAAGAAGACATCAGCTGCATGTCCTCCTGCGTGTCGTAACATTAGTTTTTATAATATACTGGAGATATTCTTAATACTCTAATGTACCGGCAATTTGATATCTAAGGCTTGCTTTCAGAACGGTTGTTTAGTTCAATTAGACACAGAATTAAAGTGCAAGAGCGAAATGAAACTCTTAAAGGCGCCTCAGCGTTCCTGCTCTCCCTCTGGTGCGGTGAACGTTTATTAAAATCTGTCCTTAATGAGTATGAAAGACTGTTGTTTTAATTAAATAATTATCTCTCGCTCTCTCTCTCTCTATCTCTTTGTATTTTCTCCTCCCCTCTTTCTCTCTCCTTACACACACATCCACTCTCTCTGTAGAACCGGATGGAGGAGAGTAAAGCTCTGTTCAGGACAATAGTCACGTACCCCTGGTTCCAAAACTCCTCAGTCATTCTCTTCCTCAACAAGAAGGACCTTTTGGAGGAGAAGATCATGTACTCCCATCTGGTCGACTACTTCCCAGAGTATGACGGTGAGTGACAGCAGCATGGTGTCCACTCAGTCCAGCCCAAACCTATCAAACCTCTAAAACAAGCAGGAAGCTCCTCTTAGCTGCTAGTTTGCACACTTGAACTAGAAAGATCTTGCTAATTTAAAATTCATATGATTCATAAAAACTAAATAGATAAATAAAGGTTGATGTCAGAAATGCACTGCTATTAAAACAACAATATTCACATTTACTGACATGTGGTACTCCATAGGGAGAATAAAAGCAATAATGCATGTTCAAAATATATACTAGTTATTAAGTTGTCCAATTGTGTAAATTCAGCGTGTGTAAAATACAATTTTTAAGAATCATATTTGACCATGCTGATAGTGTTTTTTCAAGTCTTGTCTTACAATGATTTTGTTTGTATACATTAGTATCTTCTAGTCAGTAATACTGCATTATGCTGGCAGAAATAACACCTAAAGACCACTAGTAAGAGTGTTAGATTTTGAGGCTGCATGATGTATCGGTCAGCTTATCAGTATCTGTCAAGAATTGCTTGAAATGTATCCTGACAGAATTCTTCCTGATATATTATGCCGTGTTTGATATATTAATGATATATTTGTTAATTAACAAGGTGCCCAAGTTTAATAATTCCTTCCTTACAGATAGACATTACATTTAATTTTGTATCACCCTATTTAAAAAGGATCAAATTAAGTTAAACGTTATTTTTCTCTCAAAGGAACAAACAACTTCTAATCCCCATCAACATGGACGCACCAGGGTGAATTTTTTGTTTACAAAAAAGCTGTTTTTTTTAAAAATACATGTAAATACAAATGTAAATATCTACATTTCAAGAGTAGAAATTAGATGTTTGGATTGCAATGAAAAAAATTAGACTAATGGCTAAAAGTAAATTTTCAAACAATGTGTTACTATGTAGTTCCAACGCTGTCTTCACTTTAGATTGAAATGCACCAGCCTGCAAAATAATCATATTACATTACATTTCATTTAGCTGACGCTTTTATCCAAAGCGACTTACAATAAGTGCATTCGACCAAGAAGACTTGAAGAAAACAGAATCATATAAGTACATTAGGTTTCGTAGAGCTAAACCATTTTAAGTGCTACTCAACTGGCTTTAGATAAGCCAGTCCTTTGTTAGTATATAAGTGCTTTGTTAGTATATAAGTGCTTTGTTAGTATATAAGTGCTTTTTATTTAGTTTTTAGTTTTTTAGTAATTCATTGCTCGAAGTGGAGTCTAAAGAGATGAGTTTTCAGTCTGCGCCGGAAGATGTGCAAGCTTTCTGCTGTCCTGATGTCAATGGGGAGCTCATTCCACCATTTTGGAGCCAGGATAGCAAACCAACGTGTTTTTGCTGATGGAAACTTGAGTCCCCCTCGCAGTGAGGGTGCAGCGAGCTGTTTGGCTGATGCAGAGCGGAGTGCACGAGCTGGGGTGTATGGTTTAACCATGTCCTGGATGTAGGAAGGGCCAGATCCATTCGCAGCATGGTACGCAAGTACCAGTGTCTTGAAGTGGATTCTAGCAGTTACCGGAAGGGAGCGGAGGAGCGGCGTGGTGTGGGAGAATTTTGGAAGGTTGAAGACCAGACGAGCCGCTACACTAAACGTCATCATTCAAAATATTTTAGAAAGCAAGTGTTGCAACCTCTGATTAGTGTTAAATCAACCCAAATGATTTATATATTCTGATTTTGGTGAGATCTAGTTATATTATGCCCTAAATGTTACATATCATTTCACTTGATTGTTTTGTTCATTTTTGTTTTAATGAAAGACGTTCCTTAGCTTCTACATGTGTAAATATCTGCTTTTTAAGCGATGAGGACAAATATCCTGACTTCATGAGTTTGTCATTGTTGTGTTCATATATGACCCGTACAGTTTTGGCCCAGTTATGACACCCAGTTATTTCCCAAACTCCTCGGGTGTTGAGAGATGGCAGAGTTCCGGCTCAGCGGCCTCTGTGACCTGTCATTTCTCTGCAGTCTGAGAGTCGGTTCTGATCATACTGTGCCGGGTCTCAAACAGAGCCTTGCTGCTCTACAGTGTCAACAGCAATTCCACGTCTTTCTGAAAAAGTCAGGGGATCTGCTCAGTGCTCACATTCACTTCACAATGCATGGCTTTGAAAATCGTTGGTCTTTAGCCAAAGCTGAAACAAGTTTTTATCTGCTCTATCTGCATCCAGTGTAACCTAATGACATGTTGATGTCAAAATGTAATGTTGTACTGTTTGTACCGGTAGTGTACAATCATTGAAAGTACTTAAAAGGGCTGTACTAACAGGAAATGGTTACATTCGAACATGTAATACTGTTGCTGTTGTTGTGTTTGCCAACATGTTTCTAAAGCTGTTTAAACTCAAACTGTTATTAAGTGGACACGGAATATAACATTGACCTATAATAGGCTTTTTCAAATTGGTTTTTATTTCTCTTTTGGTTATGGTCACTGCTCTTGGTGGTACATTCTGCTGTTTCGTGCATTAGTACATTAGGTTTATGTGTTATGATACGTTAAGATGTACTAAAACCTCCCATCCGTGGATGTCGGGGGAGCGGCCAGAATTTCTGGGCCTCACGACAATAAATCACTTTGAGAATTTGGTTATTTAGCCTAAAGGTAGAAAATGTTTTTAAATCAAGCATTTACTGGGAGAACAGCGGATGTTTTTGCGATATTCTCGCCAAACAGTATACTCTGTTTTCACTGCCCGTTCTGATGTTTGCCGACATGGCACGGGTAAGATGTGTAGGGTAAAGGTGTTTACAGAGCAAAAACATAGATTATCACCTATCGTTTTGCCTTATTTTGGACACATTTGCTTGTTGAAAATAAGATCTAGGTGCAGCACTATGTTTGGCATTGTGACTCCCATCTGACGTACATATCTTAATTTTTCATCATCAACACTTCAACACACGACACGAATCACTCACACTCCACCATGAGTCCTCTCCCTCTTAATGACAACTGATTAATCGATTGCATGCTTCTTAATGTGCTTCAGAAAACAATAAGGTTCATTATTATATCGCCATTGCAGATGGTGATTTGGCTGTGTGGGCTGCACGAGTCACCCTCGTTGCTAAGTTACCAAATGGGGTTGTTTACCTCCACATCTGTGACTATGCATGCTGACAAAAATGACGACTTAACATTTGTGGCGAAAACACAAAATATGCTACATATAGGTCACTTTTACAGGTATTAAAAAGAGAATCTGAAAATGTAAATATAAATTATATAATATATATACTTAATATGTTTCATACGTTTATGGACAACTCTGGGAGAGATTGTACTCATAGCTGCTTGTTAAAGGAAAATGTGTGTGTTTATTTTGAGCTGTGTTATTTTAAAGACAGACATCATTAGTGAGTTACTGGCCAGTTTGTCTGCTGAGGAACAAGTGATGCCACGATGCACTGATTGGGAGAAAGAGGGTTTACGAAGCGTACGTCAGAAGCACAGGAAGGAGTCGACTCTGGAACAATGATATAAAAATAAATAAAACACAACGTTCTGCAGCAGCGGCTATTATTATCTGTCAGAGCCGGTCACTCGACACTCATTCCTTCACGTTTATCTTCCAGGATAAGCTTTGCCCTAAAGCCCAGTGTCTGAAGAACTCGGTTGTTCTGTCAAACATTGTTTCACTACCGCTAAGAGTCTGTGCAAAGCTTATGAGAGTGCCACTGTTTGACTAAAAAAGGATATGTTTTATATGTAAAATAATTAAATGTGTCAAACATGCTAAGAAATAATCCGTTGAGGAATCTGGTTGAAAGGACTATGTACACTTTGTAGGATAATGCTGCTACTGCCCAATAGTTTGTTTTTGTTTAGTTTTTAATTTATTTAATTGAATGTCTTTTTTTATTATATATTTCTTCTTTCTTTTCCAAATGATGTCCTTTCTTGTCTTTGCCTCTGTTTTTGACATGTTGTATGTACGTTTGTGATAGGTATGTTGTGTCTTGTAACTATATTGTATTAAAAGAATGACAAATGAATTACATTTTTAAAAAGTAAAATAATTAGCTTTGTATCTTCCCTCTGACGCTGAACTACATTTTGCCGCAATGAATTGGTTAAATTGCCGCCATTGCCACATGACATAAATCTTTTTCACATATATTATCTATAAAAAAAGTTTGGATGATAAATAATAAAACGTAGAGCTTGACTAAATGTTATTCAGATGAATGACTACTGAATAAACCCTTACATGTGTCCTTGGAGTCACGCATTGAGTCATACAGTGTGTAGTGACCTTAACTCTCTTTTTGTATGTTTCCTCAGCTTCCTGGTGGATAATGACTAACAACTAGAAACCATCCAGAATGTCACATCTCCTGCCTACACTGTCACACGGACGAAGACACACTGGCGCATAAACACAGCCACCCACACACACACATACAAAAACACTCACACACACAGAAGAATTCAATAGGCCTCCATGTGTTTGAAAGCAACAGGAGACGGAGACATCAGGCGTCATACAGTATTCTCCAGCAGCATCTTTAATGTTCCTCTGTCTGCCACTGCTCATTATTGTGCTGCTTATATCAACGCCGCCTATAGCCAATACACTGACTTGAAAGTGACTGATTCTCTGCAATGCAAAATCCTTTTAATCTCACAACCCTGTCTCCCTCTCTGCCGTGTCGCTTTTGCAATGTTTGTCTTGTATTATGCAAGTGGAGAACAACCAAAAAAGACGCTAGGGTAGGCTAGAATCCAGTTGAAATGGAAATGACCATGCCAGTTGTGTTATTGTGCTTTTGATGAGTTATTTACTGTTGAATACAATTAAGTAGGAAGAAAAGGCAGAGAGGATGCGGGCCGAAGGGTTCCTGCAGCCTGAACATGCATGCTGATGATTGTGGCCAAAAGCTTTCATTAATAGTTTCCTTTTGAAATCTTGGCCGTATGATACTGTAGCACCCTTTGTTTAGCTATTCTAAAAAGCTATCCCTTCCCTGACGT